GAATTTTGAGCATTACTTTGCTAGTGTGAGAGATAATTGCAATTGTGCAGTATTTTGAGCATTATTTGAGATTGCCTTTCTTTGGGATTGGAATGAAAACTGACTTTCCAGTCCTGTGGCCACTGCTGAGTTTTTCCAATTTGCTGTCATACCAAGTGCAGCACTTTCACAGCATCATCTTTCAGGATTTGAAATAGCTCAACTGGAACGCCATCACCTCCACTAGCTTTGTTCGTAGTGATGCTTCCTAAGGCCCACTTGACTTCACATTCCAGGATGTCTGGCTCTAGGTGAGTGATCACACCATCGTGATTATCTGGGTCATGAAGATCTTTTTTGTACAGTTCTTCTGTGTATTCTTGCCACCTCTTCTTAATATCTTCTGCTTCTGTTAGGTCCATACCATTTCTGTCCTTTATTGAGCCCATCTTTGCATGAAATGTTCCCTTGGTATCTCTAATTTTCTTGAAGAGATCTCTAGTCTTTCCCTTTTTATTGCTTTCCTCTATTTCTTTGCACTGACCACTGAGAAAGGCTTTCTTATCTCTCCTTGATATTCTTTGGAACTCTGTTTTCAAATGGGTATATCTTTCCTTTTCTTCTTTGTCTTTTACTTCTCTTCTTTTCTCAGCTATTTGTAAGGCCTCCTCAGACAACCATTTTGCCTTTCTTCATTTCTTTTCCTTGGGAATGTTCTCGATCACCGCCTTCTGTACAATGTCAAAAATCTCTGTCCATAGTTCTTTAGGCACTCTGTCTATCAGATCTAATCCCTTGAATCTATTTGTCACTTCCTCTGTATAATCCTAAGGGAATTGATTTATGTCATATGTGAATGTTTTAGTGGTTTTCCCTACTTTCTTTAAGTCTGAATTTGGCAATAAGGAGTTCATGATCTGAGCCACAGTCAGCTCCTGGTCTTATTTTGGCTGACTGTCTGGAGCTTCTCCATCTTTGGCTGCAAAGAATATTATCAATCTGATTTCAGTATTGACCCTTTGGTGAGGTCCATGTGTAGTGTCTTCTTTTGTGTTGGTGGAAGTGGGTGTTTTCTATAACCAGAGCATCCTCTTGGCAAAACAGTGTTTGCATTTGCCCTCTTCATTTTGTACTCCAAGGCCAAATTTGCCTGCTACTCCAGGTGTCTCCTGACTTGCTAATTTTGCATTCCAGTTCCCTATAATGAAAAGGACATTTTTTTTTGGGGGGGGGGGTGTTGTTCTAGAATGTTTTGTATGTCTTCATAAAACCATTCAACTTCAGCTATTTTAGCATACTGGTTGGGGTATAGACTTAGATTACTGTGATATTGAAAGTTTTCCTTGGAAACAAACAGAAATCATTCTGTTGTTTTTAAGATTGCATCTAAGTACTGCATTTCAGACTCTTTTGTTGACTATGAGAGCTACTACATTTCTTCTTTCTACTCTTGCCCACAATAGTATATATAATGGTCATCTGAATTAAATTCACCCATTCCAGTCCATTTTAGTTCGTTGATTCCCACAATGTCAATGTTCACTCTTGCCATCTCCTGTTTGATCACTTTCAATTTGCCTTGATTCATGGACCTAATATTCCGGGTTCCTATGCAATATTGCTATTTACAGCATTGGAGTTTACTTCCATCACCAGTCACATACACAACTGAGTGTTGTTTGTGCTTTGGCTCTGTCTCTTCATTCTTTCTGGAGTTATTTCTCTACTCTTCTCCAGTAGTGTATTGGGCACCTACTGACCTAGGGTGTTCATCTTTCAGTGTCCTATCTTTTTGTCTTTTCATACTATTCATGGGGTTCTCAAGGCATGAATACTGGAGTGGTTTTCCATTCTCTTATCCAGTGGACCACATTTTCTCAGTGATCATATTTAGGAGAAATAAAGTAATCCATAGTCAGCCCTCCAAACCCACAGGTTCCATATCCACAAATTCAACTAACTGTGGATCAAAAATATTTTTTAAAGTTTCCAGAAAATTTTAAAAAGCAAAATTGATTGGGTGATGTAGTGGTGGGGAGAATCTTAGGAAGAGAGTCAAAAGGTACAAAAGTCCAGTTATAAGATAAATAAGTACTAGGGATGAAATTTACAATATGATAAATATAATTAATTAACCCTGCCATATACTATATATGAGTCTTTAACACAGCAACGCCTGTTTGTTATCACAGGAATACTTTTTTTTCTCTTTATTGAATATTGTACCTAAGAAATGATTCATATTCTATAAATTTATTGTGGTAATAATTTCATGAAGTAAATCAAATCATTAACACCCTTGTGGCAGAAAGTGAAGAGGAACTGAAGAACTTCTTGATGAAAGTGAAAGAGGGAGTGTGAAAATGCTGGCTTAAAACTCAACTTTCAAAAAACTAAGATCATGGCATCTNGCTTTCAAATTGTGGAGCTGGAGAGGACTCTTGAGAGTCCCTTGCACAGCAAGGAGATCAAAGCAGTCAATCCTAAAAGATACCAACACTGAATATTCATTGGAAGGACTGATGCTGAAGCTGAAACTCCATACTTTGGCCACTTGATGCGAAGAACTGACTCACTGGAAAAGACCCTAATGCTGGAAAAGATTGAAGTCAGGAGGAGAAGGGGACCTCTCATCCAGAAGATGAGATGGCTTGATAACATCACCAATTCGATGGATTTGAGTTTGAGCAAGCTCTAGGAGTTGGTGATGGACAGGGAAGCCTGGCTTAATGAAGTCCGTGGGGTCACAAAGAGTTGGACACAACAGAGCAACTGAACTGAACTGCACTTAACCTTATATAACATATGTCAACTATATCTCACTATATTGGTGGAAAAAAGCAGAACTTCAATTTGCTATGTACTGGCAACTGTTTACACAGTATTTGCATTATATTTGCAATAATTTTCAAAATACGTGGGCATTATAAGTAATACAGAAATGATTTGAAGCCTATGTGAGAATAAGAGCAAGCTTTATACAAATACTGTAGCATTTTAGATAAAAGACTCTATTGTCCACAGATTTTTGTATCCCTGCAGTGGGTGGGGTGCTGTAACCAGTCCCCTATTGGTACAAAGGAACAACTGTAGCTGACAGAAACCAAACTAGTAAATGGTACGCTCTTGTAATTGTCTTCCTTAAATTCATGTGTCACCAAACAAGATTGTCTTTGTTTAATTAACCCTGAAATTCAGGGATCATAGAGGAACTGAGTAATAGAAATAAGCCTTCATTTCAACAATGCATTACCAATGTGACTAAAAAAGAAATTGGTGTTGACTGTTAAAAGCAACAGCAGAAAAAATGTAACAGCATTTTTTCATAATAAATAATTCAAAAATAATAAAATAGCCCCTGGAAGCATCAGAATAACTCTCAGATGTTTAAGTTATTACATCTTAAAACAGATGTCCAAGGAAATAATGAATCAATCAACACATTTTGTTTAATTTTATAAATTTGATTCACCAAAGATTCTCTTTTAAAGTATAGCACAACACTCACAAAATGAAAGACACTTTTTCTAGGCCTCAGTATTTATGTTACAGAGCAACTTTCCCTTCTTATTGCTGTATCTCTCAAAATTGCAAGAATTTTCTTGTTTGAAATTTCTCTAGTACTTAGTAGAAATATAAATTTTTCAAATTCAACACAGATATTTTTATAAATTCCTTAATATTAGAAAGTAGGTTCAGAGCATAAAAATATCTTTTCTGGAAACTAATAAGTTTTTCCTTGATTTGAAAGCTAAATTATAAAATATGTATGAATGAAGATACATTTTAAAAGTTATTACTTAAATGTATTGTTTTTAGATTTAAAAACATCACTAATGTAGTAAAAGCTTCCTTTTACAGATTCAAATCACTGTGCACACTTATTCACAAGCTCCTTCATGTTGAAATTCAAAAAGAGTGACTCTGAATGAAATCTTAATGTGTGCTGAGTAGGTTCCATTATTGAGAACATAATTACTATATACAGTGCCTTGCCCAGTTAATAATGCAAGAAAACTAAATGACAGGGCTGCAGTGAGAGGTGGTCACAGTTTTAATGACTATCCAAGAGGTTTCATAAACCTCCACTAAAATAAAAGACTAACTCCTAGAAAGAAGTGGCATTACAGTTGGGAAGAGCTGGCTGAACTGATTGTAAATAAATTGAACTATAATATTCACATTCATCCACTCTAAGTAATTTTTCTCTTAGTATTTAGGGAGATATCTATTATTTGGTCCTTAACTCAGAAAATGAAAGATATATAGAAATAGGATATAGAGTTATACATACATTTATATCACTATATATGTGCATATTCCCAATACATGTTTATGTATTACTTTTGTGATTTTTCCCATTCTATAAACAGAATTATACTTGAATGACACTTGAAATGAGTTTGAACAATTACCATTTTTCATTTAATATATGTTTTAGAATGATAATTTGGCATGTGCGTAATCTTTGCCACTGAAATGAATGCATATATGCTTTCAAATTCTAGGAAAAATATATTTATGAATTTAGAGATGCAGATATTTTGTAATTAAGGTGCTGCAATTGCCTTTCAATTAATTCTCCATTTAATAGCAGAAAAGATATCAATTTTTTGTCACAAACAGCACAGCAATTTCTTATGGATAATGTATTTTTATATTTCCAGAGTGGACTTTCCTACAAGAGTTCAAAGCAGGAAACAGAAACCACCATAAGCATTCTTAAACATGAGGAAATTTCATACAGGAAATTTTGTGCTTACAAGAGCATTGCCAAGACTGAAGCAACAGTTTCTAAGCTGAGTCTCCTGGAATAATTCCTGGACCTGTACAGAACTGACTTACTATCTTTCAAATTCTAGGAAAAATATATTTATGAATTTAGAGATGCAGATATTTTGTAATTAAGGTGCTGCAGTTGCCTTTCAATTAATTCTCCATTTAATAGCAGAAAAGATATCAATTTTTTGTCACAAACAGCACAGCAATTTCTCATGGATAATGTATTTTTATATTTCCAGAGTGGACTTTTCTACAAGAGTTCAAAGGAGGAAACAGAAACCACCATAAGCATTCTTAAACATGAGGAAATTTCATACAGGAAACTTTGTGCTTACAAGAGCATTGCCAAGACTGAAGCAACAGTTTCTAAGCTGAGTCTCCTGGAATAATTCCTGGACCTGTACAGAACTGACTTACTAAAAGAGCACTACCTCTGAGGTCACAGCTGGGAATATGCCAGAAACAAGGTTCTCTGCCTTTGCCAATACAGGCCAACACTCAGGAGGCTGCAAAATGTGCTCGTATTGCCTCAGCCTGCTACACCAGGCCAAGGTGTTATACTCTTTGCTTGTCAGCATCTAGGAAGCTGGAGTTGGGACCCTTCAGAATCACTGTTGGCAATCATCATATCTCCTGAGTGTTGTTTGACATTAGAGCTCAAAACCACAGGAAGATGGTTTCTGATTAACTTGTCCATTTCAGATCTTGCCATAATACATACTTGGTAACCAAACTGGAAATTAATTTGCATTCAGGACTTTAGCTGAAAGGGATTCTGGGAAATGTAGGTTTTGTAGTAAATAAAGGTTTAGAGAAGACAATGAGTTGGATGCCTAAGGTGAGTTTTACATAACTGGCATAATCTCTACAGGTGAATATGTTTCAAATATACTGTAACAGCCTATTATACTAATATTTCCTCCATGAAAATTTAAGCTATATCTTAAATTTCAGAGCATTCTCTTCTGGCAAGAATAACTATTCCGGTAGAAAAATAAAAATGCATTTGTCAAATAAAGAAACTGAATAAATAGTTAAAATAGAAGACAACACAAGAATATCCAAAAAGATTCTTATAGAGTTTAATAGATATAAATTCAGTGTATTTTGAGATCAGTGGCAACTGGTGATCATGTGAAAATCAAAAGTCAAACTCAGACCACTCAGGATTAAAGATAATTTCCTAAATGTTCACCTACTCAAATGTAGAAGGTAGTGGACATATATGGAGGTGGAGGCGGGCACATTTTAACTAGATATTGACTATTGATAGTAACGTTGTTGTTCATTCACCAAGTCCTGTCCAACTCTTTGTGGATCCATGAACTGTAGTCTGCCAAACTCCTCTGTCCATGGATTTCCCAGGCAAGAATACTGGAGTGAGTTGCCATTTCTTTCTCCAAGGGATCTTCCTGGATCAGGGATGGAACCTGTGTCTCCTTCATTGGCAGGCAGATTCATTACCACTAAGTCACAAGGGAAGCACATTAGATACCATTAATTAAGCTCAAAATACATGAACTTAATTTTTTATTTTTCATCTTATCTGTATTTTCTATAAGATTCCATACATGCATGCTCAGTCACTCACTTGTGTCTAGTTCTTTGTGACTCCATGGATTGTAGCCCATCAGGCTCATCTGTCCGTGGAATTTTCCAGGCAAGAATACTAGGGTGGGCTGCCATTTCCTATTCTAGGGATAATAACACACTGAGCCTTTGAAAAATAAACTTTTCAGTGGAAATTATTTTATCTGCTATATTAGTTTTCTATTGTCTCTGTTATAAATTATAAAAAACTTAGTGACTTCAGTCAGTTCAGTTCAGTCACTTAGTCATGACCCCATGGACTGCAGCACACCATACTTCCCTGTCCTTCACTATCTCCCAGAGTTTGCACAAACTCATGTCAATTGAGTCTGTGATACCATCCAACCATCTCATCCCCTGTTGTTCCCTTCTCTTCCTGACTTCAATCTTTCCCAGCATCAGGATATTTTCTAATGTGTCAGCCCTTCATATCAGGTGGCCAAATTATTGAGCTTCAGCTTCAGCATCAGTCCTCCCAATGATTATTCAGGATTGATTTCCATTAGGATTGACTGGTTTGATCACCTTGCAGTCCAAAGGGACTCTCAAGAGTTTTCTCCAACACCACAGTTCAAAAGCATTAATTATTCTGCACTTAACTTTCTTTATGGTTCAACACAACACAAACCTACTGCCTTACAGTTTGATAGGCTAGAAGTCTGACACAGATCTCACTGAGATCAAATGAAGGTGAAACCAGGCCTGTATTGCCTTCTCCCCAGAGGCTTTAGAAGAGAATCTGTTTCCTGCGGCTTCCAATTTCTCAAGGTTTCCAAAGTTCTTTGGTCCACTTCCTCTCCTATCAAAGACAATAATTTTGCAGTTTTCTGTGACTTTGCTTTTCTCTAGTTACATGTCTGTCTCTTCCATCTTAATAACACTCATGATAATATTGGTCCCACCTGGATAACCCAGGAGAACGTCCATATTATAAAGTCCAGATCCATAATCATAGTTGCAAAGTTCCTTTTGCTAAGTAAAGAAGCATAGTCATAAGTTCTGAAAATTAGGACATGGGCATTTGGGGGCACTCATTATCTGCCTACCACATCTGCTAAGAGTAATAACAGCAGAAATGAAATTTCTTATGCAAAGAGAAGCTCTTCATTGTGATATCTAACTTAGTGTCATTTTATATATCTTATTACATGTTTGATAAAAGGGATATATTTTAATATAACCTTTGAAAATATCTGAAAGGCCATATCCCATTTTTTTAATCAAATATGTACAGTTTAGATCAGTCTAGTTGGAACATGCAAAAAGAAAATTCACTTCATAGTAATAACTCCATGTGAAAAAAATATTTTGCTTTTAAATGATTTTATTAACAAAGATCAGTTTGCTTATATGCTATGAAAACTGTTTCAGGGAACTTCTGAATGTCTAAACTACTTTCTATCATTCAACTGAGGTTAACCTAAGACTTGGATCTACTTTCTCACTACCTCTAATATAGAATATCACTGCTACAAAATATTTAGAAATGTGCCTATTATCTGTGTCGGTAATATTCTGTCTATTTGAGGATACTGATTTAGAAGAAACTAACCTTCAGGTGACTTAAATTTGGAAGAAACTATGAGTTACAACATGCAGTTTTGAGGTTATAGTTTTAGGGGGTAAAGAAAGACTCTACTGTTGACAGAAACATTAACATGGAAATGTGAAGGGAGAGATTAAACAGGGACATGGAATAAGCCCTGCTTAGTACGTGTAAACTGATAAAATACAGATGTGTGACCCAAAAAAATCAAGTTAGGTATGGACAAAAAATATCCAAATGCAATGTGTAATTCTCAGAGGAGATGGAAATATACATGTTTAATTCACATTTCTGTCTAAATGGATTAACTAGCAGCACTGCTGTGAGTGGAGTTTCCACAGGCCTCACCAGGTTATGGGGTACCACAAACAGGGATAGCACATTTCTCAGGGCATTTTCCCCACTGGTTAATTAGAAGAGCAGCCTCCCTCCTGGTCCCTGCTCTTTCCATCTAAATATCTTGGATTTCCCTGACTGTCTCACACGGAGAACAAATCTAGACAATGGCAACCTCTGTCACTTCTGTTGGGTATTGTTCAACTGCTATTACTCATTGAGGTCGAGTCTACTGGGAAAAGACTTCCAGAGGCACTTCTTCCTTCTAGACATGATGATTCTTTCCCTAGACACCACCCCAATCACTGTATCCCAGACTCCACAATGGATGAAATTGCAATATCCATAAGATTTTTGGTAGAATAAAATGGGAGAATGTCTTACTACTTCTTCAAGTGTTGAAGTCTGTTTAAAACCTACCAAATCCTTATGCTCAGGTCCTGAAATACATAATTTTGTTGAAACACTTTTCTCTATTTGCTGACAGCCCTTCTTTTCCTTGGATTTAGAGGAGAGAGGTTCACATGACTATTTTTTCAAATTCATATTATCTCTTCTCTCCTATAATCAGGGCTTTACTGGGTTTTTGTTTTTGTTTTTTGTATTTTCCAGTTAATTCTTTCAGGATATCCTCAAACCTAAATTCAAGAAAGACATCTATTTAGACTTCCCCTTTCATTCATCATATAGGCACACACTTCTGAACACTAAGACACAGCTTAAATTTAAAGGCTGAAATTTACATACGTAGGTAGCATGTATCACATTCAATATAAGAACTATTGCAGGACAATGATGAATCTTTAAAAGAACATGGATATATAAAAAAAAATGTGTGAGCATACTCTATGGATTTTAAACTGATAATACAGTCATCAAATATCAAGTTTATCTAGCCAGTGCTGGGAAACTATTAATCCAAGCATGCAACAACCATAAGTCTTCCATTTCCAATTTTGGGAGGAGTAAGTTTCTAGGATATGTTGGGCATATCTATGTCTGAATAATAAGGAAACAATTTCTAAACTTATTCTCACCTTACCTAGACTTGAGGAATGTCCTGTTTTGTGATCATATCTCATCCTGCAGAATCTATGGACAAATTCCCAGAATAGCTCTAGAGTGAAGGGATTTTCTGGAATTCACTTTATCTCTGTGAAGCATTTATGCATTGAAATCTCCTACCTGTAATATATTTAACCTCTCTGCTGAAGAAAATATTCTGTTCATGAAATTGGATACAATTCATCTCTTATACATACATTTTAAAAGATTTAGATCTGACATCATCTCACTATTCTAGGAAGGAAATGTTTTGTAATAACTGAAAAGTTGATTAGCTACTTAATATTAATACTTGACATACTAAATTTGTATATGGCCTGTGGTTTAAAATGTTAAATCAGATATTGGGAAGGAATCAAACTTCTCCTAAATATATTTGAATTTAACAATATATATAGTAGAGTAACTTAAAAGAAGTTGTTAATTGTGTTGCTTTCCCCTTAAAAATATTACTTTGGGGGAGGAGATCAATATAGTGGAGTAGGAGGATGCTGGACTTGCTTCTGCTCACAAACACATCAAAATTATTGATACAATAGTTATAATAGCATATAATATAATATACAGAGTGATTCATACTGGAAACGACCTCAGAATTAGCAGAGTGCTTCTTCAATCAAAGCTATATCCAAATGAAGTCTGGTAGGAAGGGAAGAGAAGTGATCTGGTTAGAACATGCATCCCTAGCAGGGGACACAGAAAATGGAGGGATACCAAAAGGTTGGGAATCATCCTGGGTAATAAGAGGTTTGAGCTGTATATGAAGCACCTAAACCCCAGGTCCAATGCGGAGAAGATGAGCTCCCTAAGCTGATTTGAAAACAAGTGGGGCTTACTGGAGGGCTATAAGAGACCAACAGTCAGCTCTAGAGAAGTCCATTAAGTTTTGATTATTCCCAGTTACAGTGTGGAAGCAGCAGATTGAAAACTATGTGGGGATCTGGTTGGCTTACTAGGACTACCCCAGCCTCCAGCTCTAGCCACTCTTACTCTGGCACGGCTCCCCACTAAGGAGGGGGTTGCTCTTTCCAATGTGAGCATGTATGCATTGAAGAAATAGAACCAGCTTAGAATCAGCCCTGCCTCTGACCAGGGTGGAGGTAGCCGTTGTAAGCTGCCATGTCCCTGCACACAC